TTGAGAACTTGAGTTTTTGTTAGGTGTGAACCTTGGCATCAAGAGGAACCCGCTGCTGGACTTCAGAGCATGCACTGGTTCCTGCAAAGGTTAAGGAATCCCTGGCTTGTACCTACGTGCGACAGTTGAGAGACATCAGGAATGTGAACTTTTAATACAGATAAGAGATGGACCACCACAGAAGCCAGACTTTTTGGCTAAAAGAGACTGTGTCTAGGCAGTCACTGAGCAGCTCTCTTCTCTCTGGTGCATATTTTGTTTGGTTTTTTTTCCTATCTTCTATTCCATCCAGCTGTATACGTGCTTGTATTAAGTGCCTTTGTGAGCAACATTCCTGTAGGGCTTTGTAAGATCCCTTCACTCCTTGACACCTAAAGCTATTCCATCCCTGTCTGACTGACTGGGTGAGAAGACACTGTCATCTTCAATCTCGTCGGGTTTTTTGCAAGCTGGATCTGTGGGGGTTTGAAGGCTTGGCTCATTTCCTTCAAAGCGTTTCTGCTGTGATTATGGATTGTGACATTTGACAGCAGGTAAATATGCCTCGTAAGGAGGAGATGTTTTGAAGAAACATTTAATGGTGGGCTCTGAGGGGAAAAGAGAGTGCTGTCTGCTGTTACTGTTTCTTTATGGAAACTACCTTCCTCCCTCTGTGGGAGAAGGGAGCCTGTGGGAGAGTCGACAATTCTGCTAATGGCATTTCAGTAGGTGGTCTCTTGGTTGGTTGTGTTGCTAATACAGTGATCCAGTCTCCTCTTAACCCAGTCACTGTGGAGCTGCCTGACTTGATCTGTTTTCTCAAGCCAGGAAGCTGAGGAACAGTTCAGTCTCTGCATATGTAGGGAGATGGAGAGGATGTGTTGGAGCTGGCTGCTTCTGGGATGGATGGATGACCTGCACTGGCAGGTGAATGAAATGTGTTCTGGAAGAATGCCACACATTCCTCAGCAGCCTGCAACTCTATTATTGCCTAGGCTTGAGCTTCAGCTGAAATCACAAGGTTTTGGTGGCCATGGTTTCTAGTTTTTGTGGGTGAAGTGTTTTTCTTGCTTTTTGTTTTGAGCCCTTTGGCCCTGCAGTAATAATGTGAAAGGTCTGGCTGGAAAAGCCTGGGACCATGACACAAGTGTTATGGGTTGGGCAGAAGCAGAGGGAAGAGCCTTGTCCTAGCTACTGATGTTTTTGGATGTGTGTACAGCATGCACAGATCATACCTACCCTGACTCCAGTTGTGTGGCAGGCAGCTGGGGGATGTTGGCCGAGTGATGCAAATCCACTGTGCATTATCTCTGAAGAATGGACGGTAGGTAGTAGGGTTGGGGGTGTCCCTTGAGATCCCTGCCATATTTGGTGTTGTGCGCTCCCGATTACATGTCCCAGTTTAAGGTGACGACCATGTCCCTCTTTACACTGTTTGGTTTCCTCAAGAGGGACTCTCTGTAGCCAGCAGATAATTGAGGAGCGGCTGCACTTGGAATGTGGCTGTGCAGAAAGAGGCACTGACTTCTACTGAGTGTGCCGTATTTCCTCTTACTCCTTTTTATCCAGTGAGTAGTCCTTCATAAGGAGGGGAAGGGAACACCTCTCTTGCTTCCTGCCTCTAACTGAACATACTAAGAGGCTTCTGACCACTTCCCTGGCACTGTTGTGAAGAAAAAGGCACTCAGCTGGACTGTGCCATTTCTCTGGCAGCTAAGTATGACCTTCTGACTGTTTGGAGCTGGAGCCTGACCCTAGGAGTTTAAATTCACACAAAGACCTTGCCTCCACATGAGTTGTCTGTAAACATTTCCATGGCACATATGCATTTTGTGGCGCCTGCTGATGTGAATTGGAGCTTGGCAACCCTGGAGACAGAGATGCTGTGGGCTAGCAGGTTTTGTGAGCTTCTCGGACCTCATCCTGCTGGCACTTGGGAAGATCAAGGCAGAATGACCTCCTGGGCTAAAGGACCCCCTGCAGTGGAGGCAGCCAGCCTCTCTGACCCTGTGAGTTACATGCACAGAATTCAACCGTGTGCCCATGAGCTGAACGAGCTCTGGGAGTGTTGATGGGTTTGAGATAAGTACTTTCTCAGAGTCCTAATTCTGGGTGGAAGAAAGCAGAGCAGATCGCAGATCATTTCCCTGGCAGTGCCTGACCCTGCTGTGCTCACTTTCTCCCACAAGCAGAGATTTCTTAGTACTTTGTAGCCCGTCTGTCAGTGTAGCCTTGTCTCTTGGTGAGCTCTGGCATGGGAGATTTAATTTGAACTGCTTACACCGAGACTCCCTCAGTTGTGGTGGTCTCCCAGGCAGCGTGGACTTTGGAGTGCAGGTTAGGAACAAAGGGCATCAGACTAATATAACCATTCCATACCTTGCTCAAGCCCACTCCCGTACAGGTGGGGGTAAAGTGCTAAAGAAAATTTTATTTTTTGCATTCCAGAGCGAACTGGAACCATTCAGGACACTAAAATGGTTGCAAGGCTGGGGTTTTTTAGGTGGAGAATGCAGTGCTGATTCCCCAGTGAACAGGAAGTTCACGTGGCTGTAATCTGCATAGCAGTGGTAACTTTTTCTTTAAGGACATGGCTTTTTTTTTACCATCCTGGCTTCTTCCTGAGAGGATTTACTTTGTGAATGCCTTGGGAGAATGGGAAGCATAAAGTGACAGGATATCTGAAAGGGTGGAAGAGTTGTGAGCTTCAGATGCATACTTTGGAGCTCTCCTTTTAATAGCCCTGAGAATTAGCAAGAAGCCCTTGAAGGGTAACGCTCCCTTTTGCACTTACAGCAAGGGCAGACTGTTATGATCTCTTGTGCACTAAAGGACAATTTATTTTCTGAGTATTTTCTTGCTGAGCTTATTATTGGCCATGCCGGTAGAAAAGTGTTAAAACCTAGGTATAAAGAGTCAGTCATCAGGCCCACTGTGTTAACAGCTGCCTGGGTGCTGGAGCAGGCTGCATTTGACAGGTGACTTGTGGGTTATGTGCGTGTGTTGCCTTGAGGTGAGGACCACTGTCTCACCTGTAAAACTGTGTGCACGTACCTGGCGATGCAGAAGACAGTACCCTGCTGGCCCTTGAAAAGTTTTCCCTGTGTAAGAAGAGAGGACCCAGAGCTGGTCAGAAGCAGGGGAGGATTTTGGTAATATTTTTAGCCTTGATGTTTCTCCTCCCAGACTTGGAAATGAGTTTATCCTGCGTTAACCATGACCTTTTAAGAGGCATTTGTTGTTTCACAAACAGTGTGGACTTCTGCAGACCAGGACAACTCTTAAGGGGCCAGGGTTCTGATGCTGCTGCTGTTGTAGTGTTAAACCCTCAGTGTCCAAATGCCAGCACCCTGCTGTTTCGTGACTATACTAAGAACTGTGCACCATTAGAGACACCCTGTAAATGGTGGCTTGGCACTCCTAACTGTGTCGTCTTAAATCGTGCTTTTTTTGTAGGCAAGTCGCATGTCCCCACGTCGACTGTTTCCCCATTTAGCTTGTCCTCAAATGACAAAAGTCACTGGTGAGCCCAAGTTGGTGCTGCTTGTGACTCCTAATCATATTTCAGACTTCATGCTATGATGGTGCTTTTTTTTTTCTTCAAAGTAGGTTGCTTTCAAGTGTCTTAATGAAACCATTTGCTGTAAAACTTCTTCTGAAGATAAAATGGATACTGCCTCACTGCCTAACGTCTTAATAATGTGCTTGTTTTTTTCCTTCTATATGAATGTATATTGCCTCATTAGGGCAGGAAGTGTGTGTGATTATGGATGTGTTTTCCTGTATTGCTTTCAGTGAAGAACTCTACAGTTTCCTAAAATTTTTCTTCCCCTATCAGGATGTTTGTACAGTGAAAACCTTTCTATGGACAGGTGAGGCTTTTTCTGAAATGCAGGAATTCAGCCTCCCAAGATCTTGTCTTTATGGAACTCCTTTACTGATAATGTGAAGAATGAGAGGCTCTGGAAGAACTGTGGGGTGGTTTGTTTTTGTTGTCCTTGTATTCCTCCCCCCTCCCCCCCCGCCAAGCTTTAGGAAGAAACTTTGTGAAACACACTTGTGAGCTGTGTTGAAAGGACTGGTGTGTGTGTCTGTGTCCATTTTGCATCATGTGCACTGTTTCCAAATGAATGCAATTGTGAATCAAAATAAATGATTAGAAATCATCTGTGTAGAGGCCTGTGATTTATGCCAACGCACTCAGCCAGGTCACGTGACCCAAAGCTGCCATCATCTCGTGGCTATTCAGCTGTGAACTGGACTTGGTAATAAGGGAGCAACAGGCTAAGGAGAAGCTAGGAAGCAAGGTTTCTTCCAGTTCTACAAAAACTGACGTTTGGGTTGGTTTGGTGTTGGGATCAGAGACCTGCTGGCAGTTCATTCCCCTGGAAATGAAGGATATTGCCCTGCAGTGGGGCTTTGAATGGTGATCTTGCATCCTGAGAGCAATCTGTTATCAGATACTGAGTGTTTGTACCTGATCAGGTTCCTAGGTTTTTTGTCCGGTGTCTTGCTTTCCCTCCTACACCTGCCTACACAATACATCCGGAACCCCAAAAAGGAACAATCTCTTCCTTAAAACCTCTTCTAAGCCATGTTTGTAAATGATGTGGATATTCTCTGTGCAGATAGTGGGAAGAGATGCAGCTATTGATCCTGTTTGTATCTTGGGACATCTGCTGAAAGGCAAGATGACTTTTAGTGAGTAGAATCACAAGTGCCTTTTGATTGTTCCCAGACCTCTGCTTTGATTTGCCTGGGTGGCACTTCGGTCCACTGTTCAGCTATTTCTCTTTGAAGAGAAAGTGCTCTCTTTGCACTTGCTGACAACAAGGACCTTGCACTAGCAGTGAACCAGGTTTGTAGCTAGGTGAGAGTGGTGTGTGCAGAAGGGTGTCAGACTTCTGATGCTCCAGCAGCCACCAGCTTATCTCCAGTGCCAGTGATGGAGACACTGGAGATTACTATCTCTCCTCAACTT